TCCTTCTGTGTCATCTGCAAACTCGCCGAAGGCCTCCCCCTTGTGGAAATTCCTCCTTTCCATTTGGGACAGGAGCACTCCAATGCTGCCCTCCAGTAACAGACAGTAAACATAACACAGATACCAGATCCAGAATGGCACAGAGCTCAGACCAGGCAAATTTACAGTGCTGAATTCTGCTGCTCTGGTGGTGCTGAGGTGTGAGCAGCTCCAGCTGCCTGGCCTTCAGCAGGGCAAACCCTGCTATGCTGACACCTTCTGGCTTGGCACTGTCCTCCTGCTCCCACTTTTCCTCCACAAGCCCCCTTTAGAAGGAGACTAGCTCTGCCTCATTTTGGCGGTGCCCTTGGCTGTCTGTTCTGATGGGTAGTTGGTGTCCACCACACCCTGATGAAAAAAGATGAAACTTGCTTTTGACCTTAGCCCCTCAGCCTTGTGAGGCTGGTACAGAAATTTGGGGAATTGGAACACTGAACTGTGGTTCCAATTCTGGCTTATTAATAAAAAATGTGACACTTAAATGTTGAACCATATATAAATAAAACACTTCAGTCAAATTAACATTTATAATGTACTTTAAGTACTTTCTATTAGTGTTTGTGCTGACATTTGCACAATCCTAGATTCAGCAAAGAGCTGCAGCACGTGCTGGTAACTAAGCATGTATGAAGTGCTTTAAAGAAGAAAACATGAATAGCTTCTTCTTTTCTGCCAATTTTGGCATGAAACTCTGCTTTAGTTCCTCCAAACAGATGGAAATATCACTGAGCCCACCCTTGGTCACGGTGTCTGTTACCGTAGGCAAATCAAATACAGTTGGAAGTCTGCAAGGCTTTCCTGCCAAAGGGTCAGTACAAGGTCAGGACTTGTACCTGCAGGATTTTCACTTTTTATATAATTAGCCAAAGATTAAATGTTCCTCCCTTTTTCACTATGCTCCAGCTGTGGAGCTACGAGATTGCCCTCCTGTTAGACACAAGAATACCAGGAACCATAAGCATATTAGTTTGATCTCTCTGTCTGTGTCTTACATCTTTTATGTCATGTTTCACTTTACACTGGAAGAAACAAGTGAATATTCATAGAGCAGTATCTACTTAATCTGGGACAATACTTCATAGAAGCCAAATGCCCTCTTACACCTTAAACTCCATCCATATGTTGCATAGTTTCTTTAAGATGGTGGAAAATCCATGAGCAGTGTTTTTAAGTTCCAGGGCTGGCATTTCCTGCTTCTCAATCCCAGATGAATTTATCACCTCTGTTTCTCTTTCCTCAGAGGAGCAGGCAGGAGCTTTGACCATCTTGGGCAACTATTTCACAGCTTCTCTCTTAGATTTCCATCCCTTAGAAGAGATCTTTGACTTCATCTGAAATTTGGGAGTTTCATATTCTGTGCAGGGAAGTCACTTCCCCTATATTCTGTCTCTGCTTTCCAGCTGCAAACTGGAGACAGTGAAGCTAATCAAACAGAATATTTTGAGGCTGATGCTGACATGTGCTACATGAGACCTAGCTGTCATAATTTTATTTTCAATGTTATATATGACTTAGCTGCAGAAGAAAAATCATTACTTATTTTCTGTAATAGTATATGCTCATACTTCAGTAAAATAATGTTTTTGAGAACAATCTCAATGTGTTTTGTTAGTTATCAAAAATTATCTAAATTCACTAACATTTATTAATTATTTCTTCTCCTACAAATCTTTCCTTAGCAATTGGAACTCTGTCAGAGATTATATAAACTGCACTTCCAGCTGCTGTTGCTTTTTCAGTCCTACTGTAAACTTATTGGACAAGTGCACGAAGTGAGTTCCATGCCAGAGGTATGTAACAAAGTCCCATACTGAAAATTCCACTTTATTTTCATGTTCTTATTTTTCCTTTCTCTGGATTTAACAACAAGGATCCCACTATTTCACACTGACTATAAATCTGCAGGCATACATAATCAACTAAATACCTTAATGTCCTGTATTTTTTATTCTGTAATGTTTACAAACCTTTTTCTTTAAATATTTTCACATAGCACACTCTCACTTTTGACCCAGACAGCTTTTTGTTTTTAGATAAATCCATGAATCTTACTTAAAAAAAATTCAAAAGAACAGTACTGTTAGTCAAGTTTATTTTCAGCAATTGCTTAAAATATATAATACTTTGAAACATCTTCGAGGTGATCGCTTAAAGCTGAATTATTATCATTTAAGGAAAGATTTAACTTACCATTCCATGTGTATTTTTCTCCTGGTAAGGAGAAAAATGTATATATTTTAAATTATGGAGGAGAAGAAGTTGTTGTACTCTGGTTTGTAAAATAAAATTTGAAGCTATTACATGTATTTTATTACATATTCTAGTAACTTAGATATGGCCTATAAACAGAAATTGTTTTATCAGATGTGCTGTCACAGTAAAAAGAGTTTGAATATTTATTGTACCTTAAGGATACAAGCAATTGTATGTTGTGAAGGCTGGCTCACATTGTGACTGGACTGTTCACTTTTAAGAGAAGACAGGACAATAGGCATCAACTACTACTAGAGCAGTATAAGATTTAAAAATATTTTTTATTTCTTATAATTGATTTCTGTAAGTGTTTTTCACTGTTACAACTTTGTTAAATTGTTATAAATAATGCACCCCATGGAACTGGGAAACAATTGTAGAAAGAATAGCTATTTCACCATGACATTTGCATATTTTGCTGGAGCCATAAGCTATTACTTGAAGGAAATTCCATTGTCAGTTCATATGACAATGTTTATTTTTAGCATGTAGGAGCATGAAAAAGTAGACCCTTGGAAATTATTAACTTACTAATTATTTATGAATCTTGTGCCTTATTAACTTTTCAGCCTGAGAAAGGGTTATACATTTCTTGTCCATCCATTAATCATGTCAGATGCTGCATGTATTTTGTAAATAAATATCAACATCTTACTAGGAGAAATATGTGTTTTCATCAGCTCTTCCTCTATGATGTGAAAAAAGTAGCAAGGGTGAAAAATAAAAGCTTGTTTAGATATGCTCCTGCATTTTAGCAAGCCAAAACTACAGCATAATGTTAAAGGATGCACAAAGGTTAAAAAAAAAAAACCAAAACCAAACCTGTAGTTTGCTTTTTCTTTGTATTGTACAGAGATCAGGAAATGTCCTTGTATTAAACTGGGGTCTTTTCCATAATGTGTACATCCAATGTAGTAGTAAGGACAAACTTGAAGTACCTACTCCATGTGGGACTTGTGGAGAATGAAAATACCCATCTCTCATTTTTCTCCTTGGAGCAGCTGTTAAATATGTCAAGAGAACTGAGTGAGCTGAAGAAAAATCTGAAGGATGCTACTGCTGCAATTGCAGCTGAGCCTCTGACAACAGAATCTGAGCCCACATTCAACTCTACTGAAGCAGCTATTCAGTCCATGCTGGAGTGTTTGAAAAACAATGAACTTGTTAAAGCCGTCAGACAAATAAGAGAATGCAGGCAAGTTTTGCTACATGGTTCATATTAGACTTTCATGTTATTAGAAAAGTATGCATTTATTATCTTCCTAACTAAACGTAATGTGCAGGATCAGCATAATTAATTAATTGTTTCAACAAGGAACATGGGCGCATTGATACCGGCTTTTGGGGAGGTGTGCCATGAGTAACTATCAAACATATGCTTGCAACAATTAAGATGTTTAATTACATTCTGTAGATCAAAAATCCTGTGAGGCTCTTAAGAATCTTTACTGAGCTAATTCCTTACAGGTGCATGTCATTGGCATGAGCTAAAATTCAGCCCAGTTTCACTTACACCTATTTGAATGAGTTTTGTTAGGCATTTTTTTAGATAATGGAAATTGCACTTTTGTGTGTATTCAGTGCCTGATACCAGAATATGAGTAATAAATGAGTGGTGTAAAACAGTGAGTTGCTTTAGGCTTATAAGTGTGTGCAAGTCCATTCTTCTTTTAGAGATCTCTGTCACATAGCTCTTCTCTCTGCTAATAAACCCATAATGAAATGCCTGTTCTTTTCCTATTTCATTGCAGGATTTTGTGGCCCAATGATATCTTTGGAAGCAGCTCTGATGATGAAGTCCAGACACTACTGAATATTTACTTCCGCCACCAAACCCTGGGTCAGACGGGCACCTATGCACTGGTGGGCTCCAACCAGAGCCTGACTGAAATCTGCACCAAATTAATGGAACTGAACATAGAGATCCGCGACATGATTCGCAGAGCTCAGAGCTACCGGGTCATCAATACTTTTCTTCCAGACTCCAGCGTTTCCGGCACAAGTCTCTGACAGGACCCTTGGGCCCCCTTTCAAGCTGGGAGTGCTGCCCTGTGGGAGTGAGGTGGCTCGATGTCTTCTCAGCCTTACAAAGGTTTGGTCAAACTGTACTCACTCTTGTTACATTTAGGATTTCCTCTAAAAAGCGATGGGCTGAACTTCAAACACATAGCAATACTGTAAGGACAGAGGTAGCATAGAGCACCTGGGACATCCTTTGTTCTGTGTTGCACAAAAACCAGTTAGCATTTCACTGAGCAACTGCAACTCACTACTGAAGAAGTGACTTCCATTGCATACCAAAGCCTACTACACTGAACAATACTTCCTTTATAGCAAATTAATTTTTGGTTGGCAAAAGTGCAATGTTTCCTTCACAAAATAGTATTTTTTGTTTAAAAAACAAATCTTGTACACATTTTTTTCCTTTTTTTTTTCTTATTTAGTTGAGTGAAAGATGGGCAGAATGAAGCTGGCCACGGAATCTCACAAATTTGTTGGTCAAAAGCTGAGAGCCTGTGTATATGAAACAGACTGTAATTTAATGTACACTGTAATTTGAATATGATTACTGTATCTTAAAACAATGAGCTGCTATGAAGTACATTTCCTAATGTTACTAGGCTACTGTCTCTGAAGGTACTGGATCATATTGTAGAGGTCTGTTCTTAGGCCCCCCCAAGGATCATGAAAGGTCTTGATAGATTTTCTTTTTTTTTTATTAATGACCTTGGCTGCTTTTTACTAGAGGTTTGCTTTTATGAATATATTTATACTATTAAAGGATGGTTGATCTAATTTAACTTGCCATTTTGTAGGAGAAAGTCCCATCACAGAGTCAAATCTTTTGAACTGTTACGCATGCATATTTTTATTTAATATAAATTTTGAGTATAAAAAGTAAAAATATTAACGTGAAATGCAAGTTCTCATGTTAAATTTCTTCAAAGAGAGGTCTTATTTTATTTGTAATGTATATATAAAAGTCATGACTATATGTTTTTTTCTTACATTTAACTGCTGTCCAGTGTTAAATGTATGCATGTAAATCTGTTGCACATCTGAGACACTTTTATTCTGACAACTATGTAACTTATTCACACTGTAAATACACTTAACTGTTTTTGTGAAGTAACTTTGAAATTTGGATCAGTACATTCATTTAACTAAAGTATAAAAGTCATATATAGTCAGAACACAGTACGTGCTTGTTGTGAAAATTGTGTTCTTGTCTGAATCAGAACGGTCTACACAATATCCATGATCAGCAGCCCCCCAGAAGGTACCTGGCTCCTGGTTTATGCTGAAACCATTCATAGAAAATAGTGAGAAATGTAACTACAGCCTGACAAAAAGATCCTCACAGTGCAGCGTGGAAGACTACAACAGCAGAAGTAGTTTCATTGATCTATGAAAGCCTCTGAACTTCCTTCTACCCTGAAGAGTGTTTTTTACACTGTCACAGATAGTGCCAGTCAAAAGGTTTTTTCCCCCCCCCATTTGAAACATGGGCAACTTACACCCTTTTCCCACCTATTTTACAGCCATAGTCTTGTTCTGGCAGATAGTCTTTGATTACCAAGCAGCTGTGGTTTTTATATATGCAGTTGATAGAGGCAGGAGGAAGACTCATTTGCATTTACACCAGACTTTGTGCTCCAGAACATTTGCATCTTCCACCCTAGTTCAGTTTGAGTGACTGAAGAAAAAACGTGCTAGTGTAGCCTGAATCTTAGCATTCCCTGAATACTTCAAAGTCTATCTTCAGGAAATCAAATGGGTTGCTTCCTTACAGATATACTTTCCTCTTTCAGCAAAGGAGACTGAAACTAAGGGGTATCAAACTAGTGCAGACTTTTATTGAACTTCATTTACAGCATATATACAGTGAAATTACGTACTTTAAGTTATTATACTTTACAATAATACTGAAGTCTTCATCCATTATCCAATGCCAGGTCAAAAGCCTTAAGTCAAAACATTGCAATAGACAAAGTGCAAAGCACAAAACAGAAGAGGGCACATGGATCAGACAACGTATTTGAAGCTGTAAGTGCTGTCACAGGACAGCCTTTTGCCCCTGCAGCGGCCACAGAGTTCTTGACGATGAGGTCTCTTCAGGTCAATATGTCTCTTCCTCTGAGGGCAAGAGCAACGAGTCTTGGAACAGATCTCAAGAAACAAAGACATGTTAGTAGTAGTAGTAGTAGATCAAAGAGGATGCTTCTAACTTCATGTTAAAATAACATTTGGTTTTCCTTAACAGCAACACATTGGGGCTGATATACTTAGGAACTCTTGTGGTAAAAAAACCCTGTGGATTTAAGGTGCAAGGCCTTTCTCGCCTAGAAGCATAAAACCCTACCATACGTACAGCAAGCCATAATGCTGTATGAAAACTGTTTAGGTAAGCCATCCATGGGAGGAGGGAGGCCTACCACAAGACACATTTCCCAAATAACATTTCCTAGTATTTTGATGAAATAAAGTTTTCTTCCAGATAAAGTCAGTATCAAACTCAACAATAGAATTAGTGTATGTGATAACATCTGACAGTCTTAATTGAGTACAGTTAACTTACCTGGCACTGGATTGTTTCCACTCGATAGGGATTGAAGCCCTTTTGGCATTTGCGACAGAGCTGCTTGAAGTACACCTGAGAAAAAGGCAAGTTCTGTTAGTATAGAGACTTATTCAGGTGTTCTATTACAGGCACCTAAGTTTGTGCCAAAACATTTGATTTGTCAGAGACTTTATGCCATTCTTACTAGTCTCAGGAGAACAGAGACTACTTGTTAACTACCTTGTTGCTTCCAGAAATGCACCACACGTAGGCACTCTCCCATCTGGTCTTGCAGTCTTTGCAGTGGAAATAGCCATACTTCTGCTCCAAGAACTGCAGAGACACAGTTCAATGAGCATCCTCCAGCAGCCTGAGAGCACCCAGCCCAGCTCCCTCCCCAAGGATGGTGAGACACTGAAAAAGGTTGCCCAGGAAGCCATATGGAAATATTTGAAGCCGTAGTGAATGGGGCTCTGAGCAACAGGGTCTAGTGGGTGGCATCCCTGCCCATGGAAGAGAGGTTGCAACTGGATGATCTTTAAGGTCCCTTGTAACCCAAACCATTCTGCCATGCTTTGATTCACACGTGCGGGTTTTCCCAGGCTGGAGGCTCTTCTACTCTAGGTGAGACAGAGCCAGGGCAGGACAGGGACACCATGCTGCTCATGAGGTGATTTCTGGCCTCCCTGCTTGAGGGTTCGCCCCCCGCCCCATGCCGGCGCACCTGGAAGGCAGCTCTCTGCCTGGGAGTCGCGGTCTCCTCCCGCCGCGTCCCCAGCGGCTCCTGTTGCGGCGGCAGCGCGGCCCCCGCCGGGCCCTCCTGCTGCTCCTCGGCCGCCGTCGGGGCCTCCTGGGCCGGGGCTGCCTTCTCCGGGAGCGGCGCGGCCTCGGGCGGCGCGAAGAGGCGGCGCTCGGGCGCGGGCGAGAAGAGGGCGAGGCGGCCCGGGGCGCGCAGGGCGGCGGGGCTGAAGGCGCGGGCGGGCGGCAGCGTGCGCGGCCCCAGCGAGCACTGCACGGCCACGTCGGCCCGCAGGCTCACCTGCACCGCCGCCTCCTTCGTGCTGGCCCGGCGCGGCCGCGGCGCCAGCGAGGGGCCCACCTGCGACAGCAGCGCCTGGAGCTGCGCCCGCCGGTAGCTGTCCAGGTAGTCGGAGGGCAGCGGCGTGAAGGGCCCCCCGAGGAAGGGGCTGATGCTGCCGCTCTTGCTCTGCTTCCAGCTGGGCTGCTTGGCCGCAGCGTCCCAGCCGCGGCCGGACACGGGGCTGCTCCTGAAGGTCTGGCTCTTGCTGAACGGGGAACAGACAAAGCTGTCCATGATTACCGCCGCTGAAGGGTTAGCCATAGCTGCCCCCCTGCCCTGCTTTTATCTTACCTGGGGAGCTAATGGCTGCTAATTGATGGGGAAAGTGGGGGCAGCTGGGGGAGGTGTGGGGCTGTTGGCAAGGGAAGGCCGGCGTGCCTGCCTTCCTTCCTTCCTTCTCCGTCAGACTCCAATGATGGAGAGGTGTCATTCAGCCACAGCTGGGAAAACCATGGCCTGCAGAGCGAGGAGAAGGCTGCTTGCTCACAGTTCCTTCCGTTCATGGTCTTAAAAGAAGGAAAAGGGGCTTTGGGAAACTAACAAAAGTCCCGATAAACTTGGTTCCCCCCGGAGAGCTGAGCGAAGAATTCAGGCAATTACATCTCTGATAAAAAGTCTTTACCAGTATTAAAAGGTCACAGCATCCCCATTCTTCCATTACTTGGGGATTATCTACCTGGAACATTTTCCATCAACTGAACTGCTTTAGGAGAAGATGGAATATACGCCTGTATACAAACTGAAGTAAGGGAAAGCAGTGGCTTAATATCTGCATATATATGAATATATATATCTGTATCTATATTAAATAAGTGTTAATACAAGCAAGTAATAAAAGCATGTGCATATTAGACTAATATGCTTCTTCCATAATTATGTCACTTAGTTCAATTTTAAGGTAATACAGTTAAAATAATGTACTTAAATCATGCAAGCTGCGTATGTAACCCTTAAATCCCTGGAACTGCAGTGATGTGAAATCCTTTCTTTGTATGACTCCTCACCATCTTTATAAATGCACTGCTTTATAAAATTCAACGGGCCAGCAAGAGAGAGGCTAGAGAAGACCTGTTAGGGATGATGTCTTTAAACATTCACAGTATATCTGACACTTTCGAGAGTCTGAGATAAATCAGTAAGAAACAGCATTTTTACGAGGGAAAGCAGTGGCTTAATATCTGCATATATATGAATATATATATATATGTATCTATATTAAATAAGTGTTAATAATACAAGCAAGTAATAAAAGCATGTGCATATTAGACTAATATGCTTCTTCCATAATTATGTCACTTAGTTCAATTTTAAGGTAATACAGTTAAAATAATGTACTTAAATCATGCAAGCTGCGTATGTAACCCTTAAATCCCTGGAACTGCAGTGATGTGAAATCCTTTCTTTGTATGACTCCTCACCATCTTTATAAATGCACTGCTTTATAAAATTCAACGGGCCAGCAAGAGAGAGGCTAGAGAAGACCTGTTAGGGATGATGTCTTTAAACATTCACAGTATATCTGACACTTTCCAGTGTCTGAGATAAATCAGTAAGAAACGGCATTTTTACAGGACACAAAGAGGTTAAGATTCAGGAAACACATTCATCATAATTAAACATGTCTTAAGGATCCATATTGTGCTTGGATTTTCAAAGCACTGTCAGTATCAAAGCAAAAATGGTTAAGATTCAGGAAACACATTCATCATAATTAAAAGAAACATTTCTCAAGGCGTCACGTTGTGCTTGGGTTTTCAAAGCACTGTCAGTATCCAAGCAAAAATAGGGTATTGATGTAGCCAAGTTAAAACTTAATGATTGCAGTGTAGCTGCAAAGAGTAAGTTTTTAAGGTGCTTTGGGAATGGGGATGGAAATCAAATTGGAAACTACATGCCATCATTTAAACCAACAGTTTGAGTTCCTATAAAATGTTTTGGTAAGAAAGTTACTGCAGCTCCCCAGAACATTGCAGGGTTAGAAGTTAAAGTTCCTTGAAAGGATGAAGGATATGATTGAAAATTATTGTAGGACAAGAAACTGATGAAAGTGACAGATGACTGAGCAGGTCATCTGCTAAAACTACAACATAAGGACTGGTGTGGGGAGACAGGAAGAAGCCCCCTCATGGCACAAGAATAGATGAACATCCCACTAAAATGAAGATGGTAAACTCAGAGTTGGTGGTGGAGAGAGTGTTCCACACATCTTGAAGTTGTTCCATCACCAAAGCCAAGAATTTAATGAAGAGACAAAGCGGGAATGGACTGTATGTGGAGGACAGTAACATTCTCTTTATTGGAACAACATTTGGTCAACAATGGTCAACAGCCATTTCATGTGTCAAGGCCTGCACCTGAGGAGCAGAGTCTGAGGCTTGCACAGTTCACTTGCCCTGCCTCCGGGAGCCTTCCAGAGCCCTTTCCCGAGGGGTCGGCGTTAGCTGCTGTTGCCCAGCAACGCGGGCCATGTCAGCCGTGGATGTGCTGCTTCATCCCTTCGCCTCCACACGAGTGAAGCTGCAGGCGGCCATCCCAGCTCAGGGCACGCACCCTTTCTGTTCTGTGCGGAGTCAGCCACGGCGGACAGCCCTTTCGGCGGGCACCACGCGTCCCCCGGCCGCAATGCCGGGCCCCGTGCAGGGCAGGCCGGCGCGGCCGAGGCGGGGCCGCTTGGCCTCCGCCTTCCTCGTCGGGAGGCGGGAGCGGCGGATGCTCCGGCTGCGCAGGCGCGGGGCTGCGTTGGCGCCAAGCTTCGAACGGGGCGGCCGGGCTGGGGGTCTGCGCTGCCCCCCTCATCCCCGCCGCCTTTCCTGCCCGCCCCGCTGCCCGGCGTGAGGCGATGCTGCGGCCGCCGCCCCGCCCGAGGCGCCGCCGGCAGGTAACGGCCCCGCGTGTGGCTCGGCCCTGCCCCGGGGCTGCGCTGTGCCCGGGGGTGTCACTGCCGCCCCTCGGGCGTCCCTCCCTCTCCTCACAGCCCGCCGGGGTCCGCAGTCCCCGGTGTGACTCGGTGAGGGGATGGGGGTTTGGGCCCGTCCCCGGAGACCCCGCGGTGACCCGGCGGGGCTGCGCAGGCCGCGCTCCGTGCGCGGTCATCGCCCGCGAGGAGCTTCCCCTCACGGAAAGCAGCGCGGACTGGTCAAATCGCACTTCTTAAAATGTACCTCTGAGGCAATGTTAAGTTCCTCGGTGTTCTGTCTTAATGCAGCCCGTACCCTATTTTAAAGCGCCCGTTTTTCCTATGGTTTTGGTAAGGCAGCGTGTGTAACACGGCCGTCATGTGGGAAACGGGGTTTGCTGTGGAAGGCAGAGATTGTTAAACGGTGAAGTCTCACTATGGGCTTATTATGCATGTGTTTTTTAATAGAACCGTGAAACTGGCAGTGTCTGTTCCACTTGAAAGCAATTTTGAATCAAATTCTTGACATGTAAGTTGCAGAGGTTGTTAAGAGTATATATGTGGTAGTACATATTTCATCCTAACACATAGTGAGTGTGAGGTTTTGATTTGTGTTTAAAATACCTCAGAAGTGTCCTGCCCGTTCCATCATGTCGTGTGTTTGCTGAGTGTCTTCATTATCTCTAGTATAGTTCCCTATGCTCTTTTCTGTTGTTTTCCCATCATGTTCATCATTGTGGTGTTTGAATGCTCACATCCTAGTCAAAGCTAAACAAGCTGGGCTGTAGCACACCACAAAATGCAGGAAACCCAGCCAAAGATATTCAAACAGCAGTGTGTGAAAATGTTTTATTTCTTCTCAGGCTTTTCAACTGTTCCAGTAATGTAATGGATAAGAAAATGGCTTGCAAACCTGAGGAAAGACCATCTTTCTTTGAAATATTTAAGGCGCACTGCAGTGAATCAGGTACAACTTATCTAAAGTAAATAATTCTTATTAGGGTTGCTTTCTGAGCGCCAATATTTTATACATATTTGCTGTATATTTCACAGGAAAGCTTTATGCAAGATGTTATTGCTGTTCTTGCCCCAAATCTGTATTTCCTAATACCTAGATTTCTTCCAGTTTTTGTTTGTATTTTTTATCCATGATATGTGCTTAGTTACTTTTTGTGCTTCCTTGTTTAGAGTTGTCACCTCTATACATACCCACATGTAGACCAGGCTTAGTCTTTTGCTAGAGACACCTGTGGTAGTTAGTAATTTTAAAAGGAACCTGTTTAACTTGCCATTCTGAGCAAGACAAGAGAAACTAAGAGCCAGGGAGTATACTTGTGATTTTAAACAAACTGGATATTTTTCTGGTCCTTTGGTTATTCTGTTCATGGTCAGAGAATTTGGGCAGGCATTCCTTTATGTTGTGTGGTTATCAGAGTTCAAAGCCATCTAGAAACAAGCAAACCAGAAGTATGGCAGTGGAGGGAGCAGTGTGTTTTGCTGTTAGCATTTAAATGCCTGGTGTGTTTTTGCATCCTCCATGGAGGAACCTTTTTCCTTTTCATGTGGTTTTCCGTATGTTTTCCTTCGTAGATTTAGGGCCTATCAGTCTTAATTGGTTTGAAGAACTCAGTGCAGAAGCACCCCCATATGAGCCCAAATCCTTCGGAGAGGTTGATGGGCCCTCTGGCTGGCTTGATCAAACAGCTTTTAAAACTCCAAGGACAAAACCCTCTACATACAGTCAGCTGGCATCAACCCCACTGCTCTTTAAAGAACAAAATGCAATATTGCCACCTTCTTCTCCTGAAAAAGAGCCAGATCAGAAAAAAACAGGAGCAAGTGAGTAACTTCTTTTTTTTAACCTTCTGTTGCAGCTGATGATCATTAATGTAATAGATAATGCTACTGCAGGAACTGTGGGACTAAAAAGCTTATTTCAGGGGACTTCTGAAGATCATCTATAAAAATGCAGAATTAATCTTAATAGTGGATTGAGGTTGTGATAAACTGGTAATATATAAACAAAACCCCCTGTATAAAAGATACTGTTGTGGTCCAAACATTCTAAGTACTGTTAATATGAGAGGATATGAACTTAATATAACCTGTTGACTGCAAATCGAAGTGAATTTTTTTAGCAGTGTAATTTTTTTATGCAGAAGTTTTGAAGCTTTTAAAGGGACAGAATCATCCTTATCATGATGAAGTGTGAGGCAATCCGTAGGGCACTCCTTAACCTTTCTTGAAAAGTTTTAGAAGCACCATCTCTTTGAGTTACTAAGATTATAAACTATAGACAAAACTACATTTTTCCATTTGGAACAAAAAAAAAAAAAAGGAATTTTGTGAGGTACTTCTCATATATTGTTT